ATATTCAAATGATAAAGAGTCTTTTGGTAGTTCTTAAATTCTAATTCGATGAGTAAAGAACTAATGATATGTTTTTGTTGAATTTGGTTGACTGAATATATGATAAAATTATTCGTTAATACAAAAATTTTAATATATTGCATTTAAAATTTTGAAATGTATTTGTGTTATTATTTGGTTAATTTTATACGTAAAAAAGGAGGTATTTGTTTTTAGAATATTCTTAACTGTAGGTGAACTATACACGGTTGAGCATAATATCCATCGATAGAAATATATTAACCATATTTTGGTAAAATTATTAAAATAATAATAATTGTGGTTATACATGATCAAGTATTCAAATGATAAGGTTGGTTATTTTTTTATGCTCACATTCTAATCCAAAGAATAAAAAAAATGATATGTTATTTGTTGATTGTTTTTTACTGAACTAATAAAATGGTTTAGATTTGCCACAAAAAGTTATAAAATTAAAAATAGAGTAATCTATGACAAAAAAATGTCATTGTATTTTGGGGTGTGATTTATAAATGAATTAAGATTGGTTAATGATGAGTGGTTAATGATGAGTGGTTAATCATTTAAATTAATTTTGGTTTTAGTAGTTATTAATTATGGTTTACACGTTGGCATAAGGATGTAATTTTTGTGGAAAATCCATGACTAAGTACTAATTGTACTTCTCTTTTCATAAATTAGATGGTTTTGCAGTTTAAGTTTTAAGAGTTTAGAATCTTGTAGACGGCGTTTTTGTTGGTATTATCTTTTACCAACTTTTAAAAAAAACTTGTTGTCTTATTTAACTGATTCTACATGGAATTTTGCTTGGCTATAAAGAGTGAGATGAATTTAAACATTCACCTTAAGGGTAAACCTAAGTATTGTTCAATCAAAAACATGTGGTTGTGTTTCCTAGATCACCAAACCCACCAATGCAGGTTTCTTGTATCCCTCAATATCAATCTTTAGATAACTCTCAACTACTTCATCTCGAATGTGGTCAAGATTAATATCTTTAGGAATTTTTCAGATAAATTGTACTCCCTCCGTTTCAAATTTGTTGTAGCATAATTCTTTTGTTACAAAATAAGTGTCATTTAAATTTTCAATACAATTTTTTCTATTTATTTATATCTTTACTCCTAGTTAATCTAAGATAAACAATAAATGTTATACAATTGTAATATAAACAATAAATGTTATACAATTATAATAGTTAAATAATGGTATATTTGAACATTTAGTTAGTTTCTTAATTTGTGTGCAAAACTGTAGAATGACAAGTAAATTGAAACGGAGCGAGTATTAGTTTATAGTATTTTTCAAAAACTTCAACTGATGTTATATTTTTGAGAATTAATAAATAAAAATGATACGAATAATTTGTAAGTTACAAATATAGTATCATATTTAGTTTCTAGGTTAAGGTCTGCACTTTGTGTGGAATGTGGATTTTGTATGCAAATTACTTTTATTATTATTATTATTTATTTTCCTTTACTTACATATGAAATAATAAAACAACAATATATATAAAATAATTAAGAAGCCAATAACTATTACATATATAATTAAATGGGTGTGAACACATAAGTCAAAATAATCATTTTCATGCATTTTTGGTAAATAAACCTAAACAATCAATTTTGATCTATTTATATGGTATATAATTAACTTTAAATGATATTAACATAGATATACAATATAGTTTTAATATGACTATATATTAAATAAAATATCTCAACTTTTTTTCTAAAAATGAATCCTAAAATTCATTCAGAAATAGAGTTTGCAAATATAGAAGTTTGATTGATTTTTTTTTTTTTGGTGTAAATGTTAAAAAAAGTTTGAGTTTGATTGATAGTAAGCTGAGAATAGAAAGATTAGGTTTCAATTATTTTCCACTGGTCTTTGACTTCAACAAACAAGTACCTTACCAGATAATAGCCTCTTTTAATTATTTGGCATGGTAAGCGTGATTTATATTTTTAGGAAAATTTTAGATTAATTTTTATTCCCTCCGTTTCAAATTCATTGTAGCATAATTTTTTTGTTACAAAATAAGTGTCGTTTATATTTTTAATATAATTTTCTATTAATTTATCTCTTTAACTCCTAATTAAACTAAGATAAATAAATAAATGTTATACAATTATAATAGTTAAACAAGGGTATATTTGAACATTTAGTTAGTTATTTAATTATGTGCTAAATTCTAGAATGATAAGTAAAATGAAATAGAGAGAGTATTATTTTATAGTATTTTCTAAAAAAATCAACTATTGTTATATTTTTGAGAATTGATAACTAAAATTGATATGAATAATTTGTAGGTTACAAATGTTTAGTATCATATTTAGTTACTAGGTTAAGATCCGCACAGAATGAGGATTTTGTTTACAATTTACTATTACTATTATTATTATTATTATTATTATTATTTATTTTTCATTTTTCTTATATATAAAATAATAAAAATATATATATATATATATAATAATTAAGAAGCCAATAAATATTACATACATAATTAAATCGGTTCGAACACATAAATCAAAATAATCATTTTTTATATCAATTTTGTTTTGGTAAATAATCATACTTGGGTGAGATTATTAGCCACATTAATTATTACAACCACTTCACAATAAAACAATGGTTTATCCTTTTTTCATCCTTTTATTATCAACTTTTGGAATCTTATTGACACGTCTGTTGTGCCGGTTACAACCAAAATAGAACCATCCCCGGTCTGCATTTATTGCTTCAATAGTACATATTATTTTGCAAATCTCCACCTAAATAGTTTAAGAAAAAAACATATTTTTTAATCTTATTTTGTATAACACTAAACAAACAACTAATTCAGAAAACAGAAAAACATGTACCTGAGTGGCCTCAATGACTTCTGAAATTATTTTGATCTCAGCATCATTCCAGTTATATGTAATTCTCCTATTCTCCTTGTTTCCATTTTGTTTGTCAACCAGAGCAACATATAGTTCATCTGACAGCCTACAATGAGGTAAGATCACATAAACATCATGGATTATAACTGGTTGAATAATACATGCATGAAACAATATTGAAATCAAAGTGAAGCAAAAACCTTTGTGTAAATTTGTAACTTCAGGGATCACTGGATTCAGGTACAGGTGATGAACTAAAAGCATTTAGTGATTTAGACCTAATTTGTGTTAACATAGGATTTAAATTAGGCGCAAAAAATAAAAATAAAAATAAAAGACCAAAATTAAAACATGTTCAAAGAAGCAAAATAAATACCTCTAAACTCGCTGATTTTTGTAAACATGATCAAACAAACAACTGTTTGATCTTTGTCTTCAGTAAAAAGTTCGATTTGCTCAGCATAAGTTCCCCAAAAACAACATGCAAGATTATTTGTTTCCTCTGTGGATTAATAGGCAACTTAACTAGTACACAAAAGAAGTAGATCTGACTATAGAATATTTGGTAAAAATTTAGGTGGAGAGACGAACTCTGTGTCAACTAAGCGAAATTGAACCTTTTTTCTTCTCTTCCCATGATACTTTCACGGTATGAACATCACCAAGTTCATGAACTCTCCCTATTACATATGTGTTAAAATAGATAAACATAGGTTATGAATGATCATATCATACATTCTACAAAAAAAGATAACTATATATATGAGTATAATCAAATCCGAGATTCCCTATGAAGAAAGATGGCTTAAGAGTTCCATTTCCAATTTCTTCATAGTTGGCAAGAGATAGGAAAATTATATCATCATTTAAATCAGAACCTGATAGAACAGCGTCATCTCATCTGCTATAATCATCTTGTACTTCTGGCTTGTAGTTTGAAAGTGACCACCAGCTCCAATGACGGAAACATTTTCAATAACTCTCCACTCATCTACAGGCAAAATACCTTGAAGGCAAAGTACGTTGAAGGCGGTACATTCGACTTCGCTTGCAAGAAGCACGGAACTTGTTTCCCTTCAAAAACACACAGTCATATTAGATTCAAGTAAACATAAGTAGTGTAAGGAATTACTGACACGTTATAAACATAAACTTACAAATTGATCTGCTAAAACCATCTCGAAGCTATCACCTCCAAAAGATGTATTTTGCTTCCACGAATGTAAACATCTAACTTGAATACGCCAATTGCTTTTGAAAGGACAAAGTTTTGTGAGAGGAGTAAAAGTCAGCATAGACATGTTTTGGATTTCGATGGAAGTGATATGTTTTTGACGATAGATAGATGGGATATATATACTTGCGATTTGGAATCCTAGGTTAAATTGGAAAAAAATCGGTTAGTTGTGATTTAGTTGCAAAATCAGACCGAATATATTTTTTTAAGAATTTTAATATGAATAAATTTTTATTAAACTATATTAAAAACAGAATATACGGTTGAAAGAAGTAGGAAAACGTGATTTGCAAGTTTTAAAACAGAATATGATGATTATGTAAGTTAATTGATATCTTTTAGTGATATGTCAACTACATATTAAAAGAGAAAAAAATAATTAAGTTGTTTTGGTTTCAAAAAAAAATATTTAGTTAAGGTATTTTGTAGTTAAGTCTATTTCCCTATAAGTAGGAATATATTTTTAATGGTGTTCAAATTTTGGAAAGAACAAACTATAGAGAAGCCCAGCGAAATTCCTATTTTATTGGCGAAACTATATAATAAGCCATTGAAAATCATTTTTGATCATTTTTGATGGGCTGACGAAAATCAAACTTATAGCATGCCAACGAAATTATAATTAGGTATTAATCTAAATTATTGTGTTTTAATTCTAATGGCATAAGATTTTAATATTTGAAAAAAAACTAAGGAATATTTTCTATTTGTATTCATGTTTTAATAATTTAGATAAACTAATAAACTTTTTCAGTTATGGCCTAAATTTAATATTTTGCATCTTTAACTTAAATTCATATAGATATATTTATTAGTTAAGTAAGTAATTAATTTAATACATGGTAGTAAGTGTTATTTTCAGTTTTACTAAAGAAAGTGTTAATTTTGGCATAAAGTAAGCACGGCTCTGAATGCAGTCAACATTTTCTTATAAACCCCTACTACACTACAGACACTATAACCAAGGACATTAATCTATTATGCCCCAACCCTTCCTTGAAAACAATTCATCTTTTTATAGCAACAAAGGTATTTGAGCACAAAGTGCTGGCTTAAGACTTAAGAACAAAAGTTGACAGCTTGGGCAGCTTCTAGCTTAAGACATGAGAGGTAAGCGAAAAGAGTCTCAGCATGTGACCCGTAATACTTTGAGAATATCTGAGACAATCTTTTTGTAGTCTCCCAGGCTCCACAAGAATCACCAGATGCAAGCTGAATCGACGCAAGCTTCACCATTTCATTTCCAATCACCACGTGTTCATCCCCATATAGCCTCTTCAGAATCTGCCACCAAACCCAAAATCTATCTCATCTCACCCATACAGGGGGTTGATATTCAAGTGTACATTTCTTGGATCTTAGCAGTAGAACTACCAGTTAGGATTAATGAGATTTAAGAAAGTTTGAAGGTGGTTTAAGGGTTTTTTTCTCCATTTTCAATCATTAACTTATGTTGTGGTCTAAACTGAAGCAGATTCACTATATTAAGTGTTTACCTTGATGGACGCTTCACAATGCTCCCTTGCACCCTTCATTTCTCCAGCTAAATAGCAAGCCTGAGCAACCTTATCCTCCGCCTGAACAAACAGAAACGTGAAACGTGTATAGTGCCTGTTTTTCCTGAAGATAAGCATATGCAATATAGAGTAGCAATGCTTCGAGTCCTTTGGCATAAATAGAGTAAGTTGACTCACATCGGCAATGTCTTTGTTATACATGTGAAGGGAAGTCCTGAGCACAGCGATTGACCTTAAACAATCTGATAATACAGAAATATTGGCACGTCCTGAATTCATCAACTCGTCCACCCTGCAGGCTCGAGAGATCCATGGGTCAAAAGCGAAGCTTCACACTAATTATTTAACTTGAAGCTTCAAGTATGAAACTGGTACCTTCTCAGGTTGTTCCAAGCTTTGTTCACCTCTACATGAGAGTATTGCACTTCACAGCGGGATCCACATTTCAAACATTTATCTGCTTCTAAATGAAGAGAACCACTAGGTTTAGTGAGCAAACTTGAAGCCACTTCACTGACACCAGTACACACCTTTTCACTCACCTGTGAAAGAAACACAGTAAAAACCAAACTAAACTCTATTGGTATCACGAAACAATGGCTATAGACCCTCTAATAAATAACAGCTTAACGTTAAAAGGACCAGTGAACGTTAAAATAACACCTTATCAGCAGGGAATTTTCTTTAAACGGAAGCTTAACCCCAATGAATTGACTTATTATGTATCAGATTACCAGAAAATGATTATCCAGACTTTTTGGAGCAGCCAAAAAATGATTTAGCTTCTCGGACTCCCATGCAGCCACACTACTATCCAAAACTACGCCAGTGCAGCTTGTATTGACACAGCAATATCCATTAATAACAAGGTCCGATATGTTCATTTGAGAACAGCCACAGCACCGACAATGAAAAAAGTACTCCTCTTCAAGAAATCTAATGCGATCTTTGCAATCCCATTTTCCCACCTGTGAATAGTAATGCATAAAGAAATATTTAGAATTATGAACTTCAAAAGCACACAGCAGATATATGATGCCGACCAGCCTGACAAATAGAGAGAAGATGGTCACAAAATACCTCAGGACCATATGACAGCTCTAGGGGGCAACCCATGGGAATAAACTCTGTTGTTCGCATAACAAGTCCACGTGAAAGGAAATACAAATGGATGTTCGGCTTGCAGGAATGATTGAACAAACTACCGGTTTTATAAAGAGCCTGACCAACTCTGATCTGTGGATTAAACAGCAATAATAGATGTAAAAAACAGTCTTGAACAAGGACCAATGTGTGTCATCATGATCTCTGATAATAAGTGGACGCTCAAAAAGCTTAGTAGAAGAGCAGCTCAAAATATAACAAAGTCAGGTTACAGATAGCTTAAGTCTTTTCTTTAACGCTAGATTACATCTTTGTAAGTGATGACACCTAGCTCTAAATGGGATCTTCAAGTGGGAGATGCATCAAATAACATTCATAAGCAGTACTTCTGCCAAGACAAACCTGCTCTAAACTCTGAATGGGCTCTTTTTCTGAAACGTTTCCAGCTGGGATGCACTTGAAAGCATCGCCGCTGGATTTCATCCGGACGATTGCCATAGAGTTCACCTTGATTTGTGAAAGCAGTAAGATAGTCTACACAGAGAAAAAATCAAGACAGTGGTCACTACATTAATAAGTAAACTTTCATTAAATACATAAACCTCAAGGTACACTGCTATCCTTGTCCATCAATTCATGATAACAGGAACACATCGAGTGAAGCAAATGCATATATTGCAGGTTGTAAACTTTTTTGTCAATGAGGATAGATTTAATCAAAAAAATAAAAAAATCAATTTAAATCACCGTTAATTACTAATTCCAGTGAGAAAACATCATAGAAGGACGAAAGTATAACTTCTAGCCTAATCCATTAGCATCCATTTAACTCAATATGTTGATGCCTCCACAATTGTCAAAGAGCAAAGTTTTTAGGGAGTGAGATGAAGAGGACAACCTGTGTCACAGAAGTTTCGCAGACGGAAAGATCAGGACAGAAAGATTTATTAAGGCACCAAATCAATACTATGGAAAGTAGATGCAACTCCAACTTGCTCTCTGGACTCATCTTAGAATAGCTATGGGAAAGATCCTGCATAAACAGCGGGTGTTCACTCCTTATTAGATTTTGTGTGACTGTTGGCAATGATGAGAAAGATTGTACAGTCAAAAGACCTACTAATTTCTCCTGAAGGTTGGAGAGATCTATAGCTATTTCCCCTTGATTTATCAACTTTATTATAACTCGACCAGCTAAAACAGTATCAGATGGCAGTACAGCAGGCCAATTAGCTCCCTGACACTCATGCTGGTGCTCTTGAACACACTCAGTTTCAGAATAATTTTTGACAGTTGATGTAACGCTTTTAATATGCTCCACAATATCATCAGGTAGGCTCTGAAAAAACTGAGTCTTATGCACCTCATTTGTGGACAGCATTCCACCTGATTGAACTTGGCAGGACTCTGAGCAATACACAGGTAGTGAGCACGATGGACATGGAACAGCATCAGCAGGCAATTCGTTTAGGCAAAAGTGGCAATGTGTTTCCCGGCAACTTTTTGATATGACCTGAATATACCATTGAAACATGTGGAGTAACGTAAGAAAAGGAAGGAAAGAAATTAAATGTTGACAAGTTTTCAGAGAAAATATTATTTGAAACCCAATAATTGCGTCTCACACAGTTCATACCACACAAAATGGTTGTTCGACGTGTATGACAGAAGCTTGTTGAACATCACATTCTGATACCATACCCCTTCCTTTATCTTTTGTTGATACACAACGCAGCTTTACTTGACTTTGCAGGTTCGGCAGATAATCTACAAAGAAGTAGAAGAGAGAGGTCAAAAATCCAAGACCCATCTCTGAAAGGCTTAAAATGGTTATGTAAAGACCTCACCTACAGCACCAGAAGAGCTGGGTGCGTTATGCTGATTCAGAAAGTGAGGAATAGCCAGCAGTTGGCTCTGTAGCTGCTTCTTCCCGGCTGGTGATGACTCGAGAGACAAAGAAACAGTGATGTCACGAAACGCATCTTTATAGTTTCCACGAAGAGTATTGAGTTTGCCTCTCCTATACCAAGCCTGTGAAACCAAAAAAAAAACTGTAGCAAAAGAAAAAGCTGGAATATAAAGGAAATCAAGTTGAAACCTTTGCGTAATAAGGATCAATCCGAAGAGCACGATGGCAGTCCCGTAAGCTCTCTTCGACAAGCCCCAGATTCTAAGACATGAGACTCACTCAGTGCGGGAAAAAGAAAAAGAAAAAAGGAGAGAGGTCACTGACTTACATGAAGGGCATTAGCTCTATTGAGAAAGAGAGAAGCAAGCAAGCTCTTGTCTCCACGTGGAGGAGGGGCAAGACGTAAGGCTTTAGAGTAGAATCGTAGAGCATCGTCGAAACTCCGGCTACGGAAGGAGAGATTTCCGCGACGTTTGAAGTCGAGAGATGCCTCTAGGCTCTTCCCACAGCAACCCAGATCAGGATCCCCTAACTCACTCACCGCCTTTCAACAGAAAAGAGCAATGACCACTCAGCAGAGAGAAGAGTTAAGGGTTTTAGAGTACGTTACTTACTTGCTGAAATTGGGCAAGGCCCACAAGGAAACCGAGAAGAGATGAAGAAGAGGAGATGAGATCATCGACACTGCTGCTGCTCTTCACAGTTTGTACAATATGCTCCGGGATTACCGATTTCAAGGTCTCCATTTCATTCACTTCTTCTGTCTTTGGTTTTGATTTTCTTATGTTTACTTTCCTGTATATATTTTCCAGGTTTGTTTGAATTTTTAATTTGGTATCCTTTTGGTTTGGAATTGTGTTTTATTAATTTAAGGATTTGTTCGTTTGTTCTTTCATGTGGTTTATGGAGATGAGGGTCCGACTGGTTTCCCCGCTACCACCCGCAAACGCAGCTTTTGCGGTTCATGGCGGTTGCTAGCGTTTTGCAACAATCACAAAAACCGCTACAAATCGCTTCAAACCGCTCCCAACCTCTTAAAATCAAAAGCTGGTTTCAGCTAGCGTTTGCGTTTGCGGGCGATTGCGGGTGGGTAAAAAACTATTTTTTTAATTTAAAATTAAAATATAAAAATAAAAATAATATAACTAAAACTATATCTACCT